ACTAGGAAGCCTATATTCCAGCAGAGCCATAGATACCAGGGATATATATACACATTGAGGGGCCTTAGGATGCCCTTAATATCGGCTACGGCACCATTCTGAATCTGCCATCTGAAGGACATCTATGTCGAATCCTGCAGGGAAGATTTGTCCTGTCAAATGCAGAGACTGCAGAGTGGGCTTGCTTGGCAACAGAGTGAGATGCTCAGTGAGTAATAGCAACCTTTTAAGATCATACGTCTTGAGCTTGACAATGCTCTACAATGCGCGAAACACCGACTGTTCAAAATTTTACCAGCAGCCATGTAATTTTGAGAGAGACAAATAAGCAAGAGACTATCGTCTAGCAGTTCTTCTCTGGGTGACTAGAAAGAAAGGAGAGGTACACATTTCAAAGGAAAATTAAAGCTTTCCACTTTAACATTGATACATGTCTGTTTGCTGTAGGATAATAATGCCTTGGGGGGGGGGGAAGAATCTTTCCCTCCCCCGCTGTTTAGTAAATTATGAAATACTTTTAAACAATACACTGTGAGGTAAATGTCCTTATTTTATATAGCTTTCCCTAAGTACACTGAAAGGTATGTATAAAGTTGATTGCTAAAAAGCTCTAATTATGTAACACATATGTTTACCTATTCTACCTTGTTCTGAAACTCATGGCAGCAAGTCTTACTTAGAATATTTGTACCTTTCAACAATTTTAAGGGAATGCTAAATTCATATGCACTTTGGAGGGGTTATTTTTCCTTGTAGTCTGTTAGGGCCTGGAGCTCAGAAAAGCAAGCGGAATCATTCAAAGCGGAAGCAATCCTTGCTATAACTCCCTGAGATGAAAGAGAATGCTGATTAATTGTCTCCAGGGAAATTAATCCATTTACAATTCAAATAAGAATTGTCCCCTAGAATCAAGCTGCTATTGTTCATCATCCCTATTACAAAATGTAAATAGCTGATGGACAATTTTTCAGATTCTGTTTTTTTATTTTGCTTAATGCCACATTTGCAAAACAGCAGCAAACAATTTTATATATGGAAGTGCTTTGCCACTAGGATCTGCAAAATGTTCCATCATGCAATGTTCCAAACTTAAAACAAGTTTTTCCACAAGTGGTCCAGATGTGGTCTATCTCCATCATGGGCCTGTTCTAAGGTCAGAACACTCTGAGATGAAACATTTTGCACATTCCCCTACTTTGACATATTGAGGAGAGAGCTACTCCTCAAGCCAAAGACCTAGGGGGCATATAGAACTAATTTCATGATCCTTTGGATCCTGGATCTTATGCACAGACTGAATAATAAGCATGCTGAGAAATAAGCCAATGAAAACAAAATGATCCTTACTTATACATATACCTGAAAATTCATTTCTTATCCATTTAGGAAGATAAAACATTTTAGTGCTGATACATTTTAAAAAAAAAGACTAGACAAAATTGTATTTATATTTGGTTTCAGCATATAAGGATCCAATCTTTTGGGGACAGATTCACAATTCTGCATTAATGGATGAGTAATGGTAACGAGCAATGCAATACATGCATATATGAAGAGAATCGAACCCCATGTTCTTTAAACTAAATCTAATTTGTCCCAGTCTTCAAAGATTCTTTGTCAAAAGGTTATGTGCCAAATCTTGCGCATAAGAATTAATTTTTTTTAAACAGGTACATACTTCTCTGCCAATTTGGGATCATTTCCCTTCATTTATATTTATTTATATCCCTCACTAACATCTCCCTCTGTTGCTAAACACAATTTCAATGGGGCACAGAGTTCCATCCTTATGGCAACCACAGCATGCAACACTGTCATGATCCATGCAGTATGAATAGAAGGGTGTTTGAGATACATACGGATACATGGCCATTGTTGTCAGTTTAACAAAGATATCTTTACTTGGTGCATCCACGGTGTTACAAGTAAAGGCTTGGGGTGGAGGCATTTTGTGTTTTTTGCAGAAGTCAGCTGGAGAAGTGCTGTATTCCTGCCGAACTTCATGTAGGTCTGACTTGGCAGCTATCACCAAGCAAGGTATCCTGCTGTCCATGAAGTGTTGCTAGGCATTTAAAATAAAAATGGAATAAAAGTTAACTACCAGCTTCAATAAAATACACAGGTTTAAAATCTGCAGAACTGTGATTAGTGAATTCAGCAGTCTGCCATACCTTCAGAGGTGCAATTTAGGTTTTTTTAAATGCATATGCCATCCTTCTTTCACACAGTTCACATATATTCCATATGGTGATCGTGGTTTTTTCCTACTATAGATTCACAGTCATTCTGTGAAGTAAGTAACCCAGAGTACGAAAAAGATTTGGCTTGGTATTAATCAGTCCAATATGGAATTTAACACTCCCCTGGTCTAAATCAGGGGTGTCAAACTGGCGGCCCGCGGGCCAGATGTGTCATGTGCAGGCCACCCACTCCAGATCTATGAAGGGAAAAAANGACCAATCAGGCTGTGATAAAACCCACGTGTGACCATTCCCTCCTCCCATCAGAAAATAGACGTTCAGGTAAGACCAACGTCCTTTCTCCTCTTACGATCTGTCTTGTAGTCTTGGTTGGACTTGATCGGACATTTTTGGCTTCAAGGCTCAAGAAATAGAGAAGATGAAGATGGCAATTTCCATAGCACCAAATGTTACACAGGAGATATTGTTCTGTCAATTGTGGCGAAAATGCTATGTCTTTGATGGCTCCTTTGTATTAAAATATGTATTTGTTGCATGTAGAAAAACAAAGTTCTTTGAGGTAGCCAGATAAGTAGCACAAGTACAAGCACCAGCTGCCCCTATATTGTAAGATTACATTAACAGAATCTTGCACATCTGAAAGTACAGGCAGTCCTCGACTTACAACCACAATTGAATCCAAATATTCTGTTGCTAAGTGAGACATTTGTTAAGTGAATTTTGCCCCATTTTCTGCCACCATTATTAAGTGAATCACTGCAGTTGTTACATTATTAACATGGTTGTAAAGTGAATCTAACTTCCCAATGACATTGCTTGTCAGAATGTCGCAAAAGGGGATCACATGACCCCGGAACACTGCAACGGTAAAAAATATGAATCAGATGTCAAGTGTCTGAATTTTGATCACATGACCATGAGGATGCTACAATGGTCGTGTGTACAGCGGTTATGTCACATTTTTCAGTGCTGCTGTAGCTTTGAATGGTCACTAAACAAACTTGTAAGTCAAGGACTACCTGTATTAACCCCCTCCTTTTATTCTCCGGAAACTAGGGAGGGTTCCTTCTAAGATGTTTTCCATGTCCCTTTTCCTTTCATGGACTGAGCTGCAACTCTTCTTGCTGTCTCCCAAGGTCATTCTGACATACCAATACAATATCAGGAGGAGGAATGAAGGAAATGAAGAAGAGCTTCTTCACTATAAAGGGGACTTAAAAGTCTACAAACATACCCCAACATTCCCTGTTGCCATCTAAAATGGTTCAGCTCAGGATTATGACCTCGTGGTTTTTGGTAATACATTGAAATGAAAGGACGCAGGTCACAAAATCTGAGGCTTGCCCTGCTTTCTAATTTCTGGGGTGGTTGTTCATTTTTCTGAGAAGGGTTGGTTGACCAATGCAACTGGCCCATGCAAGGAGCTTCTTCAGATGAGAAGTGAAACCTCTTCAAGGAAAAACAAAGTCCAGTTGCCTCTTGAAAATCATGACCTGGATGACTGGGAATCTCCATAGATCCATTTAATGAGCCAGTTGCATCCATTCCTGGATCAGGAAGCATTTCAGACAGCCCCTCCTGCCCATGGCACCTCACAAATGGAGTACAACCATACGGTTTACATGTGGCTGCTCTTGAAGACCCCTTGGAAGCTACAACCGGTTCAGAAGGTGGTGGTGGTGGTGCTGGCAATAATGGGAAGTGCCATAATCAGGTCATCTGATACCACTGTTCAATGAGCTCCACTACTTATCAGTTAGCTTCCAAGTACAGGTCATCCTCAACTTACAACCACAATTGAGTCCAAAATTTCTGTTAAGACATCTGTTAAATGAATTTTATGACCATTCTTAACTCAGCTTTTTTTTTGTTTTTTTTAATGCGCAAGTGCATTTATTCCATGCTTTATGTGCAAATTATTATTATTATATTTTTTTACAAATATTTACTTCCCTCCCCCCAACCCCCCCCCCCGACTTCCCAGAACCAATACAGGTGGCGCAGTGGTTAAATGCAGCACTGCAGGCTACTCCAGCTGACTATAGTTCTACAGTTCGGCTGTTCAAATCTCACTGGCTCA